ATAGACAGAGTAAAGCCTAAAGTAAAACAATATCTCAACCAATGGTTCATAACATCTCAGCGATGGGACAGGCTGCCAGCAGCGGTTGCAGTGCGGTCAGATTGAGGTGAGGTTTTGGGGTTGTCGGTTCCTCCTCAAGTTTAGCTTAAGTGGAAATTGAGGTTCGGTTTGGCGCGGCTCGTGTGGGCTTAGAAATGGAGCGGGAAATGGGGCGAGCTTCTTGAGCAACACACTGTTCCTTTACATCGTCAGAACAGAACATGGAAATGTGTTTGAGTCTAAATAGTGTAAATGTATAAAACGTCTTGTACGTTCTGTTCTGCACTGTCAGAGCAGTTAAGACATCAAATCAAGCATATGAACATGAAATTATAGCAGTACAGTAATAAAACGGTTTCCACTCATTGAAGATTTTAGTGGAACACACTGTTTTCATTTCTCAGCTCCACTCTGAAAATTTAGAGTGTGTCCCCACAGGCAGGGTGGGGTGGCGGCTAGGCAGAGTGAATGGGAAGGTATTACACAGCATGACTACAGTCCCTCTCTGTGTCTACGTCTATGTTCCCCGACTACTGCCCTTGTGAGCTCACCGGCCACTGACAGGGAATTGGCTGCGGTCTGCTCTCACTGAGTGATTCCCCAGCGGGACAACCTGCCAAGCGCCGAGCTTGCCAGCAACCCTCTCATACATTCCTCAACAGAGTGTCCGCTGCCAGCTCGGCAAGTCTGGGTGGGTGCCACCCAGTGCTTCCTTAGCTGCCCCAGACACCTGAACTAGCACAGGAGTGGAGGAGACAGAGAGAGAAACAGGGATAGCTGGAAGGGTGCACGGTGGGAGTGAGAGCTATGTTAAATAGCCAGCAAACAGCCTCTGCAGCTGTTATGGCCTTTTCCACAACGATTCCACTGTTCCAGCTTCCAGTTCAGCACTAATTAAAACTGTGCCCATCCTTCTTCTTGCCAGAACTTTCCTTACACACCTGCATATATGCACACATGCATTCAGACACATGTTGTCTCAGATATATACACATCCCAGCCCTCCAACCTCTGACCACAACTCCAGCTACTGACCACCCTTTGTTGTGAATACAGTTTACCACTTTTACCCTTTTACCCTCACTGATTTAAAGCTGCAAGTTAGATATTTTGGCAACTTGGTGGCAGCAGAACAAGCTGTATACACAGCACTAACCAAGCTCACAAAAGACAGGACTTTTCCCCACGAGACCAGCGTTCAGGACCATGTAAAACCAAGTGAACTTTGAGTCATATAAAGGTACGCTGTCACCATGTTTCTTGACGTTACCTAACCACAATAACTTCACTTGCTTCATTATTGATTAATCTGATTATTACATTTGATTTTATGGTCTATAAAATGTTATAAAATTGTGACCAACAACCTAAAAGTAACTGGTGGACTTTAGTGCTGTCCGCATTTTGTTGATATGAAGAGGCCCAGACTGTGGATATCTTCGGAGTCGATCTCTGTTTATTCCTGACAACAAGAGGTTAAAACAAATCCTCTGTCAAATACAACCATATAAAATCAAACCTCTTTCCCATGGAGTACAACAGCCAAAGAGCGGCCATGTTACGTCCAATTCAGTACAATAAAACACAGAAAACATACCTGACAACAAGAGGTAAAAATAAAATCCTCCGTCAATTACGACCATATAAACTCAGCACAAATTAAATGACTAAATGAATATGTTAGCATAAAATGAGCATAGCTTAACAGCGCTAAAACACGGAAATTACTACGAGAGCAATGTCGCTTACCTCTCGCATGGAGCACAACAGCAAAAGGGGAGAGGTAAGGCAGGTGACGGCCCTTTACAGGTGAGGTGCCCCCAAAGGTGAACGTAGGGATACAGAAAACGAGTCTCAACCGTTCTACATATTGAATATGGAGGCCTGAGCATGTCAAGTGGTGATAAGTGAAACAAATGTTGTGTAATTAGAATACTTTGTTACACATACTACTGCTGTATAATTGACCCTGTTACATAAACCCAAAGATATACTGTTTACAATTATAAAAGAAACGCAAGGAATCCTCACATTTGATAAGCTGGAACCTGGAATTTTTGTTTGATGAATAACAAACAATGACTCAAAATTATTGCCTAATTACGACTACTCACTTATGCACATAGCAAACTCTTCTCTCCGTACCTTTGAGGACACACATGTTGTAAAAGAACAGAAATAAATTGCATTTCTCAGTGGTTGGGCCCTAATTGCTGCACAAAAGAATAATGAAGTGTGTTGGCTTCCAAGGGAAACTTTGGTCCCAGCCACTTCCCTTCACCTTCTCCAGAGTGGGCATTCCTATATAGATTAGCGGGAAATCTTTCCTGTTCTATCGAGGATAATCCCCCGAACAAGGCTGCTTGGCTCTCATATTAAGAATGATTTAGGCACAGTGAATTCCGGTCAGGTCAAAGCTCCACTTTCATGTTATGATGTGGCTGTTCCAGTTGTTATACATACCTTGTGGAGAGAATAGGAGCAGACAGAAGAAAGGAGAGGAAAGGAGGGCGAGTTTTTCCTTTTTTGTTTAACTGTTCAAACAGAGTTCAAAGTCATCATGTGGATTTGAAACATGAATTAAGGTCACTGATACACGACAGCTCAGTCCATTGGAAAGAAAGTGTGTGTGTAGCTTGAACAAGGGTGTCTGGGAGTTAACTTTTTAAGACGTTTGAGGTCTTTTGGATATTTCCACATCAGGTTTTCCTTCAGCCTCACACACACACACACACACACACACACACACACACACTACCCACCACATAGCAGAACATTCATCGGGAGTGTATTAGTATGAATGAGAATTACAAGGAAGCGCGGGCGCACATGGGCTTTTTTTTTTCCCCTCCCGGCGTCACACAGAAGAGAGTGACTCACATGTATTTACTCCACATAATGTGATTTAAAAGTGACTGAGAGGACAGTGCTGCCTTTAAGATAACAGGAAGCTTTAATTATCCCCGTGGCAAAATTGGGTATAGTGGGTTAGTTAAGCTGCTCTGATGTGATTCTATTTTCATTTCTACACTGAAACAAATGAACCTAGTTCATTTCTTTTTGGCACGGATTCATGAATACGGGGAACGATTTGGCAACAGAACCAGTAAGCTCAGCTTTATTTAGTTCAGCTCATTTTAGTCAAATTCAATAGTGTATAAAAGAAATCTTGGAGGACTGCTGTAGGCAGTGAGCTGTCACACTCTCTCTACTCTACTGCAGATTTTGTAGGCAAAGGCAAGCAAGAGAAAATGGCTCCCTAACAAGATTTATAATTTTACGCCAAGGGTTCAAGCTTTGGCTCATTCCCCCTGAGTGGGATTGGTCAGCATTTATAATTTTAATTCATTCATGGAAACACTGCACTGTGTTTCTCCTTATAGTGACTGTGTGTCGGAGGAGATGTGGCTCCAACAGGAACATAATACAAGAATTAGCCGTGGAAAAGCCTCCTCTGATGGAGCACGGGGAGAAAAGACTGGCTTATTTCAAGCTAAAGTGAAAAGGACAGTATGGGCAGGACAGGGGTTTTAGTGGTTTTACAGTTCAGTGGTGGTGTTTGAAAGCACGGGCTTTCAGCAACGTGGGTGGCAGGGTTGTTCCTAGCATCTCCGCTATTGTATTGTCATTGGCTCTATGCACTTGTCAGCATCATTGCTCACTTTCTCAGGATAAATGTTGATTTTGCTTTATATAAGGAAAGCCGAGGCAGCAGCGCTTTGATTCGTGAAATTGCCATGGCCTCGGTGTGAGAGCTTGTGTCACTGCAGATGTCCAAATTCCTCTGACATGTTTATTGTTTTCTTTTATTTTGCGGAGGCCAATCTGCACGGCTCTAGCGCCACTGTTCCCGTAGCTACTCCTCCATGCGAAATCTTGTGTGTCGTGTAAACAGAGAACCAGAAAATAACAAGCACAAGAAAAGGGAAAATTTCCACCCCGGCGTCGTCCTCCTTTTTCCTCCCTCGCCCCCTTTCAGTGTACCCACCACTTGTTGTCCTTTATTTGTGGCCTAAGTGCTTTGGCATTAAATCTTATTATTTTTTGGTAAATAAACCAGTTTCTGGTAGGAATTACACACAACTTGGTGTGAGGTCCTTTTCAGAAAGGGGCCTGGATCCTTTTATCTAAAATGTTTTCTATTTCTGCTTTTGTAAGACACTTTTGACTGCTTTGAAAGAGAGAAACAAGGTTTTTCTTGCGTTTCTGGGGGTGAGGTTGGGGATTTTTCTCAGCATTGTGGTGAGATTTATTCGAAGAGGCTGCATTTTTTCCTGATTTCCCTCTTTGTTCTCTGTAAGTAGTTCCAGGTCCCCCCTCTCACACACACACACACACACACACACACACACTCATCTGTGTGTGTGTAAACGTGCACGAGGCTCTGTGATTTCACACATGCATGTATGTGTGTGTGTGTGTGGAGCACATGTGTGAATGTGTGTGCGCGAGGCTGAGGCGGGGACTTGATGTGACACCTGCTGTTGGGATGAATAGGGTCAGTGGCAGGGCCCTTCAGCAGGCAGCAGCTGCTTGTTCTCACTGCAAGCTCGACTCTCTCAGCGCTCCAAAGCCTCCAGGACTACAACTGAGGCCCTGACACAACACGTAGTGCCCCCTACCACCATCTACTATCATTACAGTTATTATCTCCAAGTATTGCAATTCCTCCCTCTCTCTCTCCCAGGGTCACGATCTTAATCGTTCGGACGGAAACGTGAAATTGACTCGAGGAGCAACATCAAAAACGAACTTCAATTTCCATTCTTGCGCCCTCTGAACGCAGGAAGAGGTTTCCAGACAGCTGCTGACAGACAAAGATTCTTGGTATTTGGTGGGTCTGACCTGTCTATGCTCTCTTGCTGTGTGGTAGTCTGCCCTGTGTGTGACTTAGTAGGTCTGAAAACATTCCCTGTGGCATAACAGAGGAAGATAAACAGCGAGGTATGAAAACATCAGTCTGCCTTTTTAGCAGGGTTTCAAATTTATGTTACATTTGTCATCTTTTTTTGATTTCTTTTTAATTTGAAAGTCAGGAAAATAGTATCACAACAACCTTTTACAGTGACATCATACGGCAAACAACAGTAAATATTTGTGTGAGTTGTGTCACCCACATGCTTTTAGTTTTGTGTGAATGCAGCTGATATAGTAGCTTCCCTTATCTATCCACCAGAGGTCAGCCTTTTATTAACAAATTCTGATGAAGTCTCACAAAACTGCTTTTTTTCATGAAGAAAACTTACACCTAATTGAATATTTAATAAATTACCAGTGATTCATTAGCAGTGTTTGCACCTGTGTGCAGCATTTTGTTGGACAAATTAGTGCAATAACAGGGCTGATGTTCCTGTGACACTGGTGATGCCAGCGCAAGGAAAACCCTCCTGTCATCACAGTCCATTTGGGCTGAAGCGCACACAGGCAAAGTACAGAGTGTGGTCCTGTTGCGGTGCATTTGTTAAATGAAGGGTTCCTTCAACAGACATCAAACAGACAACTAATGGTGCTGAGGGGGTTATTCCAGGTTTTGCCTTGCTGACGGGGAAGAGAAATAACAGCCTTAAACAGAAACGGGCTTCCAGTTGAGTTGAAAATTATTAACATTACTTAAGTAAATACTTTGTTCTGTGAGTGTTGAAAACGTCCTCATGTCTGTAAACCATCGTTTTAACTTGAGCACCTCTTAAGTTAACCTCTAATGTTGGTTTTCCCCTTTGGTTTGTAAGAAGTAGCTCTAAGATGAAGGTTGTATGGGTTTGGTTCTTTTGGAGAGTTTGTAGTTGAAGTACATGGCAGCCTTGGACTGTGGGGCTCTCCTGGGCCAGCAGGTGCGTCCATTGCCGAAGTAGTCCTCCAAACACTGACAGGTGTAGGAACCATCTGTGTTGACACACTGAGCATGGCGGCTGCACCGGTGAGACCCCGTTAAACATTCGTCCTTATCTGCGAAGCGGAGGAGAGGGAGATGTTTATAAATGACGAATGTATCAGAGCGAGGCTGCTTCATAGCTAAGTCATATGAGATCAGTATGGAGAGAGCAAAGGGTGTCTGTTTCAAACCTGCTCGAGAGATAATTTTGCAATGCTCATCACATGGATGAAAACAAAAACAGCTCGTGGGTGAGCCCACAGCTGAGTGGGCGAGCTATGAGTGCTCATCAAATAAACATGGTCTGTGGATCCTCTGCTGCCAAAGCACATCTTCACATGATCCCTCTCTCTGCCAATTAACGCAGATGAGGAGAACATGTGGAGCTGTGCTGTGATCCATTTAGTCATTTACAGGATTGGACATGGAACAGATCTGAATGTGGCTTAGAAAAATGTCATACACTGTGGCCTGTTGGTCTAAAATGCACCAGACATCGTTTACACCGCTGGTTCGATTCTCGTGAAGGTCTTCTGATGCATGTTTTTCCCTTTACTCTCTCCCCAATCTTCATGTAAAACAAAAACACCTCACACTTACCTTAATATTCAAGCACATCTTCACACAAAGATAATTTTTTGAGATTTCATGGGAAACGTGACCATCTGCTTAACAGCGATGGGGAACTACTCAATATAAGTGCTCAAAAATCACATTAAAGGAACAGTGTGTAAGATTTAGGGGGGATTAAGTGGCATCTAGTGGTGAAGATTGCAGATTGCAACCAGCTAAAACTTCTCCCAGTTAGAATTCCTTCACTGTTTATTGTTCAGGAGGTTTTGATTGGGAGCTGAATTATCTGCAGAGGTCTCTTCCTCTGCTAAACAAACCAGGGGTCTCATTTATAAACATTGCATATGCACAAAACAAGGGCCAAAAAAGGCATATGCGACTTCCCACGCAAAAGTTGTGATGTAAAAATACTGACTTGATGGGAGAAACTTTGAACCATGCTTATGAACATTTAGAGACAGGATGACGCAGATGGTGAGGTGGAAGCCTGATTGTAGAAATTGTCAAATATTTTTTTGGGCACACAATTTTTGGCTCTTATTCGTGCATACATTTTTGGTATGGATCCTACACATTGTTTTATAAATGAGACTCCAGGTGATTAAAACCTGTAAGAACACTGAATAAAGCAGTTTCACATTACAAATCTGTGTTTCTCTGATGCTGTTTGGCAAGTCGCAGATGGGCCTCTAGCCCAGCACCTGCTAATGTGTGCTCACCTTTCAAGACATTCAAGGGGTTTTAGCGTGAGCCAAGTTATCTGTAGAGGTCTCATTCTATCCAAAACAAACTGACCCGATGATTTGAACTGGTAAAAACACTGAATAAAGCAGTTTCAAACTTAAAAATTCTTTTAAAAATTCTTTTTGCAAACTACAGTGACTGATGCAAAAACGCAAAAATGTGAATGACCCTATTTAGAGCCAGTGTTTGGTTTGTCTGTTCCAGGCTACTGTAGAAACATGGAGGTGCCCCCTATGTAGATATAAACATGTCATTCTAAGGTAACAAAAACACAACAACTCTTATTTTCAGGTGATTTTACACCAAAGAAAACATACTTATATTATACTCTATTTTTATCAATATGTCCTCCTAAATCCTGCACACTGGACCTTTAACTCATCCACACCTCGACACTGCACCTAGCCCTGGACTGTCCCCATCACGTAGCCATCTCGGCACACACAGACAAAACTGCCAAAAGTGTTCCTGCAGGTCTGCCGCCGTGGACACACATCCCGCCGACACTCATCGACATCTGCAACACAAACATGTGTCAAACGCCAGCAGCAACACATTTAGCTAATTTCATTGCACAACAGTCCACATTGTTGGCCTTCTCGTCTACACGACACAGCTCAAATGTTTCTCGTCTTTGCTCAAAACAGTAATTACCTTCAAAAGAGAGGCATGAGAGGCACAAATGAGTACCTTGACCTTGCAACCACCTCTTTGTACTGAAGCTTTGAAAGGTGCGCTCTGGGTGGAAAACAAGGAATGACCCCAAAACACAAATGTTTGACTTACTGTGCGCAGAGAAAGCTTCTTTATGGTGTCTTCTGGACTGCATTTACTAATGACACACAAATGGTTCTCTAAATTTATGACAAGGCAGTAAGTCAGGAAACGCACAGCTATATCTATTTTTACCAGTAAAGTCTTTTATCACACCTTTTCTTTTTTAACAAATCCTCCCAAAATGTCAGACAATAAATATGAGAGGAATGTGAACTTTACTGCCCCATCGACAGTCCCTTGTCCCACACTACTTTAAACACAGTTGTGCATTGGTGTGACATAAGCTATGATTTCTCTGTCTCGGACGTTGAATCGTTCCCACCCAAAGCTCTCCCACAGTGTGAAAATGCCTTAACAGCCGTGAGAGAGGCTGTTGAAGGGCGGCTTCATTACAGGACAGGAGGTGTCTGTTGCTGAACTATCGAGGGGGGACTTCAGTCATAAAGCGGTTGGGCAGTGAGGAGAGAGTCCAGGGTATATTTTCCTTTACATCAGGTAATTAAAGGCTTTTCACCATTAGGTGGACAGACCCAGTGGAGAGGTGCCACTGGTAAGTTCACTGCAGGTAGTTAACATATTGAGCATGGGAAGCTGTGTGCATCACCTGCTCCACAAATAAAGCCAAATGGAAACGATCTGGCAAAGCTTGATGGTGGCAACAGCACACAAATTGAAAAAAAGAAAAGAATAACTGAATGACAGTTTTCAAATGAATGTGCAGCTACAGTGAGTCACTGTAGGAACATCGAGGAACTTTCCCTGGGCAACACGAAGCTTTTAGAAACTCAGGAACGAAATCTGCATTTTGATGAATTGTGGACAGAATTAGTTATTACACTGTTGTATGACACTCATCAAGGTGGAGTACCTGTCCTTTTTTAAAACAGTGTTTAAATTCAGCCATTAAAAGAGTCTTGTTTAACAGCTCTTTGCTTTAATATGTTCAAGATTGACCATTATGTAGTCACAGAGGAGATTTTATGATGAGGCAGTGAAGTTCAGACTTTGAACTGAGAGGAACTTTGAGCAGAGGAAAAAAACAAAACAAAAAACAAACATAAACTCTATTAGGAGCTGCGCCCTTTCAAAATAAATCAAAACCTATATGACTGGACCATGTGGGAATTTAATTTGAAAGGACAGACACAGGAAGTGGCTATGCTCAGCAGGCAGACAGGAGTCACGTTAATCTCCAGGGCTGGTACCTGCGGTTATTCCACAGGCTAGTTAATAACATGTCGGGCAGGAAATCCAAAGTGTGGGATCATTTTGAGAAGGTGAAGGATGAACCCAAGGTGATATGTAAACTCATCTTCATTGGTCGACTACAAACATGACGTATCATCTGAAACATGGAAGTAGCTACATGCCCATTAGCCCACAGGGTCATTAACAGGCGGCTCGCTCAGTGTGTGACGTGCACTTGTAGATAAAATATAGGCCTATATTAATGAAGGTTCATTAGTACGGTTTTGTATTTCTCTGTAATGTAGCACAGTGTTAACAATGTTACTGATACTATTCTTTCTCACACCTTCAACTCAAACCATTGTGTTGCCCTGCCCAAAATATGTAATTTGATAATTACATGTGGGTGATTAGTCAACTAATGGCCCTAAATGACGACTATTGGTCGACTAGGAAAATTCTTAGTCGGGGGCAGCCCTAGTAGCAACTTTACCATTCATTTCCCCTGATGGGTGTAATTCAGGCCTGGTCCACAGGGACATGGATATGTTTGAAAACACACAAGCACTGCAATAAAATACGTCCCCATCCAAATGAAAATGCAGAACACAACTGAAGCGCTGTAAACAGCATGCCAAACCCTAACCTTAAAGCTATGCAAAGAAGAAGAAGATATTAGCCAATCAAATGCTGGAAAAAGCTATTAAAGACAGACTATCTTAAGCAATAACTGTTGTAGCACATTTTGTAGCCCAAATGGAGCAGCCAGTGGTGCAGTGGTTAGCATTGTTGCCTCCCAGCAAGAGGGTGCCTGGTTTGAACCCAGTACGGGCCAGCCCTTCTGTGCAGAGTTTGCATGTTTTTCCTGGGTACTCCGGCTTCCTCCCACAGTCCAAAGACATGCAGGCTAGGTCAATTGTTGACTCTAAATTGGCTGTAGAGCGTGAATCTGTCTCTATGTGTCAGCCCTGTGATAGTCTGGTGACCTGTCCAGGGTGTACCCCGCCTCTTGCCCAGTGTCAGCTGGGATAGGCTCCAGCCCCCCGCAACCCCTAACAGGATAAGCTTTTACAGAAAATGAATTAATGAATGTTTCTTAATATAGTGGAGTTACATTATTAGTAATGCTTATGTGTAAATATGTAAAAAGTCTTGTTAGCAAAGTTAGAGCCAGCAGCACTATTTTGTAACGCAGACAATTTCCCCTTGGGGATCAATAAAGTATTTCTGATTCTGATATTTTGACCAGATCAAACCGCACACACTCTGATGTTACAAGGGAAAAAAATAAAAATGGAGTCTCTGAGCATCTTCACCTTGTGCATAGTGTTACAAAAACTCTGTTTTCAGTGACCTAAATTGCTGTGTATTGTTGTGTGTTCCCAATTCCTGATTATATCTGACTATTTAGCTGCTAAATGCTCCACTATGTTCACAAGCCATTTGCTAACTTTGTCCGTCCTGCCATTCAGTCAGGGGTAGGAAGTACACAGAGGGTTTTTTGGAGCTCATTGCTGGTGAGAGTGAACCAAAACAGTAAAGTTGCGGTCCACAAAACCACAACAACAAGCTGAAATGCCCCTGGAGCTGAGGGGTGATAATTCTCTGTGGGTTCATCACGACAAGCTGAAAATGATGTCAGCAGATACACCAAAGATTAGTTAGGACTAAACAACAACCCCTCCTAAAGACGAAGATGATGTCAGACTGAGTAATGAAGTGAGCAGAAATGGCAGCTCAGGCTAACGAGAACCATGAAAAGCACTAAATATAAACAAGGTGTGTTTGTACGGTGATTCACCGCAGCGATAGGCTGAAGGGTGTTTCTGAAGGAGCATTACCTTCACAGGTCTTGTTGTCAGCGGCCAGGTGGAGGCCGGGGGGACACAGACAGCGCACCGCTCCCCCTCTCTCCATCTGGCAACCAAACTGGCAGCGCAGGGAGAAACATGCGGCCTCTCCTGGAAGACAGACAGGGAAACTGGCTGAGGATCGGTCAGAGAAATGGGCCACTGGATCACCACAGAGAGAACACACACACTTTCATACACACACATACACACAGCACAGTACAGTCTCTTCAAAACTGGGACTGGTAATGAAATCATAAACAAAAATGGTGACCAAACACTGCTTAAAAACTAAAATCAGTATCTTACATGTATCACATACTTATATGTTGTTCCTGTTAAATCCCCTATCACATAAACTTTCTTATGATATCACTTTCTTTAATATAAACTGTGAATTTCTGTCATAAACATTTGCATTAGCCTAAAAAGGTGCGTAAACTGAGCACCAGGTACTCGGATACCTTAACCTCCCATTATGGTTTAAAGATGGCAGATGGCTTTTTGTGTAAAACTGATCCGACATCGGAAATCTAATCTGCGAATTAACAGATTTTCATCATTTGGGTTTTTAGATACAGAAGTTTCAAATTTTTCATTTAAACAGAAAATTACTCACTGGTGCAGGTGTATCCATCTGCACTGAGTGTGTATCCAGGTTCACAGTAACAGCGATAGCTACCGTGTGTATTCATGCAGCGCTGGGAACATGGTCTCTCCAGGAAACCGCACTCGTTTACATCTGGAGTCAATATGAAACATTATTCGAAATCCTTGCGGTAAATGAAGCAGGAGAATGGGTTAAGAAATTGGAAACATAAGACTGACAATGATTTTGTGCATTATACTCTACCTTCATCACACTGAGGGCCTTTATACCCCGTGGAGCATAAACACTTGTCTGGTCCCACACATTTTCCATTAACACAGGGCTTCTTGCACACAGCTGCAGAGGATGTAGACATAATATAAAACGAATCATGCTAACATCATTAACTTCTGTACACTGGTATATGATAAGATCCATGATTATTATAAAGGTATGATACATGAATGTGAAAATTAAAACAGCTTTTTGTCAGCTTGAAGGCGACAGAAAAAGCCGTAGACTGAATCACGTCACTTTCGGATAGGCAACTGGCAAATGATTCTAATTTTGGAGACATGTGAAAACGGCAAACTTGTTTATTTCTGTCGTCAAGTTTCAGTTGAAACTGTAATGTTTAAAGATTTATAGTTAAACACAACCCTAACCAAATCTACCAGCACGGAAGCTAAACAATGGAGGCTACTGCGGTGGATGGGGCTGCAGCCAAACGTATTCTAGCCACCTACTAAAAATCTCAATATCAGTTGAAGTTTATGCTATATTTGGAATATTTTCTCCGCTTTACCGTACACCTTAACCAATCGAGGCAGCAGAACACCAGCATATCCCACTTCTTGCAAAGTAAAATGACTGTTTTTGTAAATGAAGTTTGGTGGCTTTGAGATAGCGGCTTCAGCTCCCCAGTTAGAAAAAGCTGTCTGACAGCAAGGTAATGTTTTCTAGCAGGCCTTTTCATTGGTGGATGAAAACAACTGAGGCAGCATTTGCTCAGCGTCATTTCATTTTATATATGTGGTGTGAGGATTTTCTACTTGGAAGTTGAGGTTTGGTCTGTAGACAAAACACTGATATGACAATTCTGGTAGCAGCAGTTGCCTATTTACAAATCCAGCAGATGTGGAGCAATGTTACCATTCATTTGGAGTCATGTTTACTGGTACCTGGCAAATTTAAGTCCCATATTAACTCTCCTTTTACCTCTGTTTTGGTCTCCACCAGCTCCACCAGAGTGTAACTGCTAAATGCTCTACTATGTTCACCAGCTAACATTATCTGTCGTTCGTTGCTGATCAGGTAGGACACAGTGGGTTTATCAGAGCATTTTCCACTGTTGGTGTTTGAAATGATGTCGATGAGAGCGGCAAGAGTGAATGAAAACAAGTTGTGGGCCAAAGAATCAAAACAATGAGCTTAAAGATGCTAAAACGCTCTGTAGAGCTGAGAGGAACTACAGAGTTGCATGTTGATTCTCTGTGTTTATTAACACTACGAGATCCCTTCATTGGCTCCCTGCTAATAATAGGATCCAGTTCAAAATTATCAATTTCATTTACAGAGCATTACACCGTCTGGCTTCCTCTTATGTAGCTGAATTACTTCACCCGTATTCTTCAGCTCGCTCTCTTCGATCAAATATGGTAAATTTGTTGTCTGTCCCTTGCACTCATGTTAAAACTCGCAGTGATTGAGCTTTTGAAGCTATAATGCCTGCTCACTTACGGTCTACCGACCCTGTAGTTTCTTTTAAAAGCCTGCTAAAGATGCACCTGTTGAGACAGACATTTGGGTAACTTGAGTAGCTCTGTATTTTCTGTATTCTTGTTGTCTATGTTAATTTATTTATTTATTTATTTTAGTGTATTGTCCAAATAATTTTGCACTTTTAACTACATGGCTTTGTCTTCTGTGTTTTCTTTCTTGTTTTACATTGCCCTTGTGAAACACTTTGTGACCTATGTCTGCGATAAGTGCTGTTTAAATGAATTTTACTTTCTTACTTAATACATACGAGCGACACCTTTCACATTACATGTAGTCATTTGATACAGTGCCTATGAAGTATAGTGATTACTGCATCTTTAAAAATCTTGCATTTATAGTACTTACGCAGAGTTACATGAAGTAGAAACAGCACAGTGTACTTGAGTATTAAAAGTAAAAGCAGCCTGTTTAAGGGTATTAGATATATAAGACATATTATTATGTTATCATAAAAACAGGTAAAATATGAGGACAAATAAAAAGAAAAGAAGCAGAAATGCAAGACTCTTCCTCACACTTATGTCCCAGTATTTGTTGTTTTGCTGAGATGCCGAACAGATAACCTGTGAACTGTGGGTAATGTGTCATTGTACTTGTGCTGTCACTGAATCGCAGAATGACTTACGCTGACAAATGCCATTAACATTCCTCCATCCCAAACAACAGGAAGTAGTTTGACCATAGCTGCAGAGTCCTGGCCGTGCTCGACCCCCAGTGTGCTCCAGCGCATCCTCCACTGACCTGCGGAGGCTGGGACAAAAGGTTATCAGATCATTAAGCGGCGTCCAGCCCTCGGGGCTTCAGTTTCAGCACAGAACTCACACAGACTGATGCCCTGAAAGAAAGTGAAACACTCCGGTATTAGAACAGCACAGAGTTGGGCTGTTTGTCTGACCTCACTGTGCATGTAAGTATGCAGCGAGCTAAATGAACACACTTCGATTAAGGTTGAAGACAGCAACCTTCATTTTTACTGAAACTGAAAACTGTATTGGACAAAAAAATTCAATGACAGTAAAAACAAACAACAAAAACACCGTAAACAATAGTTAGACCAACGATATCCCAACAGTAGAGACTGTCAACCTTCTTGAATTGTCCCTCGTGCCAGAGAGATTAACAAAGGAAGGAAGTACAATGCAGACTAATCTAGCATAGATACACCTAAAGCCCCAAATTACCCCCTCATGTACTCATTCACCACCTCCCATATAACCAACACTTAGAAGTTTACTCTGTAGTGAGCAGTGAAAATTGAGAACAATATCAGTCACCATCATTTTACGTCATTACTGATAGGTTCTTAAAATACGTCCATAGTCACACAATGGTCATTTTCACAACTATACAATATGATGCACTGTGGGAGTGTTAGCTTAAAGTACAAGCCATGGACACAACTTTTTAAGGAAATAATAAAGGTACTAATAGGCAAAACATATGAGAAGTAGAAAATGGGATTAGGAAAATAATGTGTCTACCCTGCATTCATGTGGTGTGGTAATAATCGGAAAATTAGTTTACGACTGGGAAAATTCACGTCAATGCCCCCTCAAGTCAAATTTGACGTCATATATGCAGAAACATGGCAGATGGAAGTAAATGTTAGGTTGATGCCAATAAACGTTTATTAATTCACATTTTGCATGTCAATTTTTTGCTCACATATAATTTGTAGTAGCTGTCTAGGACAAAATCACTTAGCAATATTAAGCTTTAAACTGTTATTAACGGGTTGTTCAAATGCCCTGCGCAATAAGATACAACAATTTTTTTTTGTAGTGTCCATGTTATTTCCAGAATACAACTTAAAGCTCATTAACACACCAAAGTTGGACGAATGACTTCTCACTTTGGGAAATATGACCATCCAAGGAGCATTTGAACGCAACAAATGTCTACAACGAAATGTCACCAAGTTACAGTCCCATATTCAGATAAATATCTCATACATTTTACAGCTTACCAGATCTTTTGAGCACTGTTTACTGCAGCTGTATACCGTAACTACTTATGAAACACCTTCCTCACTCCCAAGAATTCACAAGAAAAGTCCTTAAATTCTGAGCAGTAATAATTCCTCCCTCATTAAAATCTGCTGTCATAAACAAAAGTGCAATAAACTACATGGCCTACAGAACCACTGAACAACCTTCATTCATAGCTGCTGTTAAATCTCCTCACACCCACACTGCAGTAAGAGGCTATTAAATGATTAGACACAGGCCAAGTAGGTTCATTTCACATGCTCACACTGTAAAAGCCCCCCAACAGCCTATGTGAGAAAGACCCACACCCCTTCCTTTTTTTAAAGGAGCTGACTAAATTACACAGATTCTTTGTGTCCTGATAGTTTCATTAACTCTTTCTTACCTGTCCTGATGATGAGCCACGGAGAGCGTAATAAAATGCAGCATCACCACAAAGATCCGTCGGCTTATTCCAATCATTTTCTTCCTCCAGAGTTTATATAATAACTTTTTAAGTTCATATTAGCGACATCTATCCTCAGAAACCCTCTCTTTGTCAAACGAGACTCGTTTTGTGATGTGTGTGTGTTTAAAAGGCAATTCTAGAGGTGTCCTCCAGGCATTTAAGTGTGTGTGTGTTTGTTTGAAGAGTGGAGGGGGAAGTCACACGGTGTAATTATAGGGTGCAGGTATGACAGCTCACCTGTGTGCAGAAAGAGGGACAAAGATGCAGGGAGAAAAGAGGAAGACAGAGGAGGTATGGAGGTACAGGAATGCAAAGACCTGAAAAATGTGACAAAACAATTGTCATTCAGTGTTTACTTACTCGCTTGTTTTGGGCCATATCACACAGTCGTCATTATTAGATGCTCAGGTGTCATTACTCTGAGCACTTTTAGGACTTCTCGTTCAGGTCAGCTTGACAGTTCAGTCTTGACATTAGAAACAGCAGCTGATTACGCAACTTCCACTCAAGGTCCACTTATTCTGTTTTCTTCTACCTTATCACATGGTCGTCATCAGCAGGACAAAGTAATGGAAACTTAAGTGCAGACTGTTTTGTCATCTCCCTGTGCAAGACTATCAAACTCAAATTTAAAGGAGGATTTTTTTGTTACAAAAATTTGCTATTAGATGAGAAGATTGACACCAGTCACATGTCCATATGCTACATATCATTTAACTTAGCTTATCATAAAATTACAAGCAAGAGGAAATGGCTAGCCTGGCTCTGTTCAAAGTTTTGAAAATGGGGGCTTGGTTGCCGAAAAACTTCACACTGACAGCAAAACTCCAGCAAGTCACTGTGTCACTGACATTGTTTCTTCTGTAGCTCCTTCTAAATCCGCAGCCTCTCATTTTTTATACTCAGAGTTGAAGTATTAAACAAAGTAAGTAAAATGTGTACAGCTGATGAGAGGTGCTGGTGGGCCCATTTTTTAAACACTGTACAGAGCCAGGCTAGCTGTTCCCCCTGCCTTAAAGTGTCTATGCTAAGCTAGGCTAATCCCCTCTCACCCCCAGCTTCCCATTTGCTGAACTGTCCCTTGAAGCCAATACAGGCCTTTGAAGCCTCAAGTTTGACATTTTGTCATTCACCATCTTGGACTCTGAGGGGCAGGAAGTTACCATATTTGGATGAGAGGGTGGAGTTGGGGAGGAGCATAAGTAGATCTCACTTACAGACTGTGGTGACGCTTCATAGACAGCCTGTCACTCAAAGCATCCCGCCCTTAATTCTGCATAACTTTAAGCCTTAATAAAATGTAATCAGCCGAGTCATATACAGCTTCAGCCCCCCGTACCAACACATTCTCACTCTGACCTCGACACATATCAGTGTTTGGTCATGGACTTTCTGCGTCGACATATAACGTGCAAGGTATTCTGGGTCCATTTGTTGTTGACGTTCTGGGACGTCGTGTCAAATTCTGCTTGTTTTAAAAATTGTGTGTTTTCAAATTACACTTCAGTTTTCACAGGAAATGTACAGTTTGCATACGGACTCTTTCAAAATAAACACATGTTGCTGCAACACTGCGAAGTGACTTCTTTTGCATGTGGTTGGGGTTAGGCAACAAAAGCATGTGATTGGATTTAGAAAAAAAAGAACAGGGTTTGGCTTTTTGGTAGGAAGCAAGCACTGGCCTCCCGGGTGAAAGTCTATGATTGTTGGACCCATCCACCACCCTTTCCACCCATCCTACTCAGACTTTTGACCCCTTAACTTAATGTTGTCCCACTGCGTTTCCCCCTGATGCTGCCAGCACTGTTAAACAATAACGGTGTGGTGGCCTAGGCCACAAAAAGTAAAAACACAAGTGGTAATATTATCCACACGCTCACCTCACTACTTTATTAAGTACACTAGTTAATTTTATTTGCAGGCAACCACACCCTCTCTTTATTTCCTTTTAGCCATACACTGTTTAAATGGAGTGCACACATTTTCACATTATAGGGCTAGAATGAGTTATTTTTTGTTAAATTAATAATTTTCTCTGTTCTCTTTTTGAGTTACCGTGCTGGTGAGAGGTCACTTCCTGGAGAGGCAAAAGGCATGGCCAAGGGCAGATGGCTTCTAAATACTGTGGCCACCTCATCAGACCATACCATCACCTGCTATGTCAGAGGGGGGATTTGTGTAGTTAGTTCTTCCTTTGTATTAGTTAGGCGTCCATTTTGTTTTCCCCTTTTGTGTTAGATGGTTTGGCCAAATAAAATTTTTTTGGTAAATAAAACCCTATTTTTCCAACCAAATCCTGTTTTCTCTTTGCCTCACTGCTTAGTCCCTGACAAACAGCAACTGCCCACGTACCATGCCAACATGAATGGACAACTTTTTTCGTTGATGTCTGATGCCAGAAATCACTGTTCAAGCTCCGCTATTAAGTGATTTCGGAATGAGACCAGATTTCCCGTACAGTTTTCATGAATGTTGGAATTAACTATAGAGAACAAAACCATTTGTACTAGGCTGTAAACATGTTTATTTCTGCTGTAAAGTTGTTAACTTGGGGGTCTATGGGGATTACGTGTTTCTGGAGCCAGCCTCAAGTGGCCATTAGAGGAACTGCAGTTTTCTGGCACTTTCACATTGACATTGTTGTTGTTTGGGACAAGAAGTCCTAAAAATTCTAGCAAAATAGAAAATCAGGAAATCTATAGGTCTGTGAAAACTAAACTTGTTTGATTTTGAATATATAGTAATATTATTTTTTTTGTTATCATCAGTACTAATTTTTGTTTGTTTGTAAAAGCTATATTTTAACATTATACCCTGAATATGCGTGTCTTTTGTTCACCAAATCATGTCCTTTCTCTCCTTTGTTTTGTCAACTTGTGCTAAAACAGTAAAAAGTTGAAAAATATAATAAAATGATAAATGATTATTCATGAAAACTGAAATACAGACATAAATGAGGACTAAGTGTTTTCCAAAGGCTGGAACTACGATCTCAGGGGTCGGAAATAACTGCTGGCAGCCTCAGAGGTAGAGCCTTTGAAGCCTTAACTATTACCAGCACTGATCAGAGTGCAATCAGTTGTATTAAGCTCAAAGGCGGAGTCCATGTCTGGGCGCCTGGTGGTCCGCTCGCTATGCAAAGTCTCACACACACACACACACACACACGCACACGCACACACACACACACACACACACATTTGTCCGATGAATGAACATCAGCTGTTAAACAAGTTTTGATGTTGTGTTATCCTCCCTACAGCTTCACAGAGGGCCCAGATCAAACTGATTATACCTGTCCCCACCAAGGCTGACATTATTCTTTTAGTTTAGTCACTTTACAGCAAACCAGACTTTTCTGTTCCCAGTCGACACCTCAATTTATCTGACCCCAAAACAACAAATGGCACAGATTTTGGCAGGTTCCTCCAATCCCATTCAGCTAATTATGAGATTACTGTGGGTAGGTGGCCTCGGGGTGCCACCACTGTGGAGGAGACCGAAGTGTAGAAGTGCTCAAACCACAAACAAATTTCAGATTCAGCCAACTTGTAGAGGTTCGTGATTGTATGAGGTGCTGGATGGCAGGAAAGAAGGTGTGGTTAAGGGTGACTGAAAATTGAAAATTGGTGTGTGTAAAAGTTTTGTCTCAGCTCATTATCAATCTCTCCCGACACAGCCTTACCCCCACCCAAACCTCCGTCTTCGATGGTTTTTGTCAAATGTGTCACCACCACACATCAGCAAGTGAGGTGGAAAGAAACCATAAAAATGGCTGTGCATGGTCTGCCTTGAATTAGTGCCAAACCTCACTCCGTATCTGCCATAAACGATACAATTAAACTTAATCCTGCCTGCCAAGGAGGAAAGGAGTGAGGGAAATGAAGGAAGAAAAAAAGAAAGTGGCCGTCAACAGTAAAACAGAATGATAAATGTTGTCGGTGCGAGCGCAGTGTGTGGCAAGTGCAGGAGTTGATCATAGAGTTGTGCTGCACTCGCCTCCATCTGCCAGCATGGACTTGGTGGGAGCGGATCAAGATTTCAAGAGTGGGTCTGCGCCAAATCTGCAGATCCTCCTCCTCCTCCTCGTCTGACCACATTAGAGGTGTAACACATTGGTGGTCTTTGATTCCTCAACTTGAAAAGGGATGCCCCACAAAGAGATCAGATGTCATTTGTGTAAAGCCTCTCCCCCACCCCCACCTGCTCAAAAGATATAACATATCCGTCATAAATGATGAGGTTGGAGTGAGTCCCCCGAAGTGAAAATAAGATTCAGGGAACAATGTTGGTGGTCAATCACACAGTCCGTACAGACAGCCCTTCTGCTCTTATTAAATTGTACTTTTTCATATGTAATAGTGACATGCGGGTGTATTTCCTGACAATTCAGATGCATTTTCAATATTTGCTTTTCAGATCTTTCCCACAGAGATGAAACGACCACCAGTGCACTGGAAAGTCAAATTAAACTTAATTTAGTAATTGCTGGTCATCATTTTGGAGTTAAACACAGCCACTAATTGCTTCATTTGGACTTAATTGTCAAAGGGCCGCTTGAAGTTTCACAACTTGGAGGATTTACTTGCCAAGAAAAGATAAAGATACGTGGAAATTAATTACATAATAAGCTCTGGAAAAAAAGAGTAAAATCTGAAAATGTATACCCCCCATATAAAAAAGTTACTGTGACACCTACTGTGAAAGAGACAAAGTTAGACTTTGTTTTTCCTATAAAATTGGAAGAAATGGGAATATTCTGTACGCATGCCTACATCTTACTAAACATGATTCTGGAAATATTCAGCATGACATTTATACATGGACAGCATGTTTCAAATAAGAGGCGACCAACTGTAATTTGAGCTTCTCTGTTCTTTGTTGTGGCAGCTGGTCTAGTTGCACATGCATGTTAGTGCATGCATGGCTAGCTAATCACTGCTGCTCTGCACAGCGCTCATACAGTGGTTACATCCATGGATACTTTTTCTTTAGTGATCTGATTGGTCAGAGGTCGGGGTGTTGACACCCTGTGATCCAGTACTCTGAAGTTAACCTGCTCCGCAGCAGCTTAACTGTCCAGCATAGGTTACCTCGGTCATTTATCCCA